CAGCCTGTCGCTGTCCTAAGTGCGGTGTTCTGTACAGTCTGTAGCTTCGTCCACTGCATCCTACTAGTCCCCGGCGACCACACTGGCGCTGCGTAGTTCAAAACGGGCCGGCCTATTGCCTTTTATGTTGCCAGCAACGTTTCTTCGTCTTTGCCCCAAGTACTGCCGGCTAGCGACTTGAGGACCTTGTTGCGGCTCTGTACTTTATTGACAATAGCGGTTGCGTGCGCAGAGAAGGAGAGCAGGCTGTCGAATGTTACTCAGAGTATTTTGGGGTTGTTCACCGTCGGAATTGGAGTGTCATCGACGTGAATCCCCAGCGGTAGCCTGACCTCCTTCGTCCAGGTTGTTGTGTTATGTGGTCTGTCGTGGCTGTGGTATGGTCTGTGGTTGTTGTTGTTGTTGTTGTAGCGGCACTACTAAGCCCCGCCTGTTTCGGGTCAACTTTTAATCATTATCGTCAAGCTCAACTAACGGTAGGCCCAGGAAACGAGCTGTTTCGATGGGGTCGGACCAAAGGGAGAGGGGTGTTAGTTGAGTCGGATTAAGCTGGCATGTGAAGAGGTGGTTGGTGTCGTGGGGGGAGTCTCCACATGCCGGGCACTCATTTGGGATGTTTGGGTCGAGTCTGGACAGGTAGCTGTTTAGGCGGCTACAATATCCAGACCGTAACTGAGCCAGGGTAACGCGGGTCTCTCTAGGTAACTGAAGCTCCGTCTCTTCCACAGGTGGTGATTGGGCTCCGATAACGACATTCCTAGGCCGGGAGTCGAGGTAGGTGGAGACAGACTCCCTATGAATGTCGTTGATCGCTCGTCTGTACGTCATTGGGTCCAGTGGTTGGTCTGTGTGGGTCTGGACTGCGTCCTTGTAGCTTCATCCACTGCGTCCCACTAATCCCCGGCGACCAAACTGGCGCAGCATAATTTAGAACCGGCCGGCCAATTGCCTTGTATGTTGCCAGCAACGTTTCTTTGTCTTTGTTGCGGCTCTGTACATTGTTGACAACTGCGGTTGTGTGCGCGGAGAAAGAGAGCAGGCTTTCAAAGGTAACCCCTAAAATTTTCGGGTTGTTCACCGTCGGTATGGGTGTGCCGTCGACGTGAATGCCTAATTCAAGCCTGACCTCCTTCGTCCAGGTGGTAAAGAGGGTCGCCGTTGATTTCGTTGGGGAGAGGGTTAGGCTCCTTGCAGTGAAGAAGCGAGAATGGGTGGAGAGATAGCCGTTTACTTTTGAGCAGAGGTCATCAATTCCATTCCCAGACGCCAAAATCGAACAATCATCAGCGTACGAGATCAGGGAAACTCCTTCAGGTGACTGAGGGAGTTTCGAGATGTAGAAGTTAAAAAGTAAGGGGGAGAGAACACCACCTTGTGAAACCCTTTGTTTTATTCTTCTTGGTTTCGAGGTTTGATCTCTGAAGATTACTGATGATTGTCGACCACTCATATAATTCGCCGACTGGAATGGCAGACGGTGTCAAACGCCTTTGACAAGTCCAGCGCTACTAGGACAGTTCTCTCACAGGGGCGGTTTCGATTTAGGCCTCGAGTTATCTGGGTGTTTATGGCGTTAAGTGCTGTTGTTGTGCTGTGCACTTTACGGAAGCCGTGCTGATGTTTCTCTGGGGTTAGGTGGCAGGTGAAGTATGGGAGCAGCAGGGCCTCAAGTGTCTTCGCGACCGGGGAAAGGAGCGTTATCGGGCGATAAGAGTCTCCTCTGTTGGCGGGCTTCCCCGGTTTCAGCAGTGGGACCACTCTCCCTGATTTCCACACATCAGGAATGATGAGAGTGGTCATAGACAAATTGAGGACCTCCGTGAGGTATGCTACCCCCATAGGCCCCAAATGTTTCAACATCAGCATACAGATTCCGTCGGGTCCAATGGCTTTGTAGGCTTTCGCCTTCCCGATGGCCCCCTTCACTTCACCGCTGGTGAAAACAAGTGGTGCATTGTTGTTGGGCAGTTTGTGCCCAAGTCTACCGAAGGATGCAGTGTGAATTGCCGACTGAAATAGTTCGCGCATTTCTTCGGGTCCGATGAGGCGTGACCTTCGAATGAGATTTCCACTCTGTCATCACGCTTCGTCGGGTTGGACAAGGACCTCACGGTTGACCAGAGCTTACTCACACCAGAGGTGAAGTTACAGGCTTTCAAGTGCTCTTCCCACTTTGTCCGCTTGTGTTGATTTACCAGTTGCCGAATCTCCAAATTAAGTTCCCTCAAGTGAGGGTCCCTGGAGTCGACGTGGCGTAGGTGGTCACGCTCACTTGCTAGTACAGCTGCTTCAGCCGGGAAATTTGGGCGGACTTCCGCGATACGTCCGGACGGTATGAAGCGAGCTGCTGCGGCTGTGACTACCCTGCGGAACTGGCGTTCGCCAGCATGTACGTCTGTGGGTGTGGGGAGGACGGCGAAGCTGCTCTCGGTAACTTCCGCGAAGCCGTTCCAATCAGCTTTGTTGAAGTTGGTGTAGGTTCGGTGATCCGCGGGAGCAAAGTCGGTGGGCTTATTGATCGAGATGATTATGGGCAGATGGTCTGATGCTAACGTTAGCATAGGTCGCCATGATATGCTATTTATCAGACCAGCGCTAGCAATTGTTAGGTCTGGCGAGCTGCTGCAGCTGCCCACAATCCTGGTGGGGGCGTCGTCATTCATGGTGCAGAATGTCGAATCGTCTATCTGTTCAGCCAAACTGTTTCCCCTCCGATCATTGGCCAAGCTTGAGTGCCAAAGATCGTGGTGCGCAATCGGTTTTCGCCTCTGAGTAGCGCACCTATGTCAGGGAGATATCCAGCCGGGCAGCAGGTGACAGGGGGTATGTACACGTTAAATATTTCGAGCTAGACATCGCCTGACCGGGCAGCTATGCCCTGACATTCTAGGGTAGTGTCCCTTGGGTCGATGTCTTCTTCGATTAGCCGATACTGCACTGTGGTGTAGAATGAACGCTAGTCCTCCACCATTATCTCGCTCGCGATCTTTACGGAGCACATTGTAGGCGGCGCAACCCAACAGAGTTGAGCTGCTGTGCAACTTCGTTTCTTGGACCGCAGCTATCAATATGCCGTGCCGACCCATGAAGACTGCTATCTCCTCAATATTGCTCTGGAGTCCGTTGCAGTTGAGTTGGAGTACGTTCATATGCCTTGGCAGGCTGGACGCGATACGGGGGGGTGAGGGAGGTGTGGGGCCTACCTTGGGCCTGTTGCGCCTGACGCAGTTGCTGTTGCAGCCTGATGGTAGGTGGCTGCGATATGGGCGTTGTTGTCTGCGCCGGCGGTGCACTACAGCAAGGGGCGCTGTAGTTTGTAGTCCACTCGCGAGTGGTGCGTAGACCAGAACATAGCCGGAAGTGGCACCAGCCAAGGCATGTGTTGCATTTGACTGATGTCACATTCCGGTATATTCTGTTCTGGCACACGGAGCAGATGGTGTGGGCAACCAGTAGCTGCTGGTTGGCTCGCGCTCGCGAGTGGGACCGGTCGGTAGGTTGTGTGGGTGGGGTGTGTTGGGAGGTTTGCTGTTGCTCAGGGGAGCTTCTAGGGGCCGTGCAGGCTCTTCGGGTGCTGGGTCGCACCCGTGCAATACGCGAGTGGGTAGCCGTGGAGGCTGATTGTGCCATTTGGCTTGAGCAACAGGGAGCCACAAAGTTTGTGGTCCACTCCCGGTGAGACCTAAGGCCAGAGCAGGTTCTTAGGTGACTCCACCCGTTGCAGGAGTTGCACCTAACCGAAGTGGAGTTCGGGTGGAGTCGATTTTGGCAAACACAGCAGAAGTAAATTTCAGGTCCGGGGTTGGGCTCTACGCCCGCCCGGAGAAGAAGGATGCGGAGCAATCCGGCTGCAAGGTATTGCTCCATGAACGAATAATGATTGGTGGGTGTCGCTGATCTAGACGGGGTTAGATCGCCGAAACAACAGCCCTTGGTCGGGTAAAACCCGAGTCATTCCGGTACGTAGAACCGGCTGTCGTGGGAATGGTATGGTCTGTGGTGTTATTATGTTGTTGTGTTGTGGTGACTGTGTGAGGCTGCTCGGGTGGACTGAGGTTGGCCGTGGAGGCTGCTCTGTTTGAGCAACAGCGGGCCACGTACGACTTGGTCCACTGTCGATGTGTCCGTAGTCCTGAACAGACTCTAAGGTGACTCCACCCCTCGCAGGCATTACACTTGACAGAGGTGGAGTTGTGGTGTAGTCGTCTCCGGCATACACAACAGGTGTAGATTTCTGGCCCTGGGTTTGACTCGATGCCAGCCCTGAGTAGAAGAATACGTAGTGAATGTAGCCCTATGGACGAACAACTTCTGAGATACTTCGCCGACCTAAACGGGGTTAGATCGCCGAAACAACAGCCCTTGGTCGTGGGAATGATTTGTCTCTAGAGTTGCTAAAGATACTTCTTCGGATGATATAAAGTCATACATACCGACTAAAATTAGAACTAAAGATGTATTTATTCGTAAATTTAATTTTAAATACGATCGCGATATTTCATCTTTTAAAATTGATGTAGCTTCCGAAGATTTTGATTCACTACTAAATAGTTCATTTTGGCCGACCGGGGCGTTTGTTCGCGAGTTTGAGTATAAACTTAATAAGAGTAATAATAACGTAGCTAAAATTTCTAATCTTAATTCGGATTCAAATAACTAACTCGCAAGTCTAATTTAAGTATTTACCATCAAAACGTTAGAGGTTTGAATACCAAATTAACTGACTTATATTTAAAAGGTTTTGACTGCAATTATAATATTATTTCCTTGACCGAAACATGGCTCAAACCTCATATTTTTAATTCCGAAATTCTTCCAAATGAATATCAAATATACAAGAGTGACCGCGTGGGCAGAATCGGCGGTGGTGTTCTTTTTGCGGTGCATTCATCGATACCATCCGAGGAAGTTAGTCTTCCTGTCAATGAATATACCGAATTTAAATGTATACGTGTACACGCTGGAAAGACTTATATTTATTTAGCTCTTTGCTACATCCCTCCTAATTCTGCCGTATCAGTATATATGCAGCTACTTTCTTTACTTGAGACCGTAAATGCAATGCTTACGGCATCCGATTCTATGATTGTTTTGGGCGATTTAAATCTGCCACACATTTCATGGAACATCATTGACACCGATGTTGTACCAGTTTCATCTAGAGATAGTTACAATAGGGGTATTCTCTGAGTCTTGCAAAGCCCTTGCATGGTGCACAGATTGCACGGATTGCATGGTTAAAACCGGTTTTCGTATGGGACAGCTTTGCAAACCGTGCAATCCGTGCACCGTGCAAGGGCTTTGCAACACTCAGAGAATACCCCTAATGTATTTCTGGAGGAAATGGCTGAACTTTGCCTCAAACAAATAAATATATGTCCAAATAAGTTTGGAAAGGTCTTGGATCTCGTTTACGTTGATGATGTTCCGAAGGCCTCTATTAATCGGTGTGATCCCTTAGTTTTGCCGGAAGATGCATACCATCATGCTCTTGAGTTGAGCTTCGAAATCATAAATGAAATACATAATAATAAGTCAAGTTCAAGTACTAGATATGTTTTTGCGAAAGCAAATTTCAGGAAAATTAACAAAGAACTTTCAAAGTTATCTTGGCCAATATATGGAGATGACGTGGAGCGTAGCGTTGAGCACTTTAATGATACTGTTTTCAATTTGTTTCGAAAGTATGTGTGTGTAATATTGTTCATGAAGAACCAATACAATTATGGTTCACTAAATAGCTTAAAAAATTGAAAAAGAAAAAGTCGCACTCTTTTAAACTGTATAAAAGAACGGGCTTACACAGTGATTACCTAAGGTACTCTGTTTTGCGGGATAGCTACTTTGCATTAAATAAGAAATGTTATAATTCATATTTACGTAAAATTAAGAAGAATTTAATTAACAATCCTAAATCATTTTATGGTTTCGTAAATTCAAAGCGTAAGGCACATGGTTTTCCCCGCTACCAAGTTCATTTAGAAAGGATTGAATCAATTCAAAATCAATTCTTGATTTTTGCATTGCGTAATTTTAACTGGGATTCAGATTACAATCTCCCCCCTTATACAAGTCGTCTAAAGCTCATAAATTTGCCTACACTCGCAAGTGGTAGAGACATGCTAGGTATATATTTATCGTAAAATTAATGACAGGCTTGATTAATAGCCCGGCCATCCTGGCTGAGGTAAATTTTAATGTTCCTTCTCGAGTGTCAAGACACTTTCGACCTCTATTTTTAAAGCAATGCAAAACTAATTTTGATTTAAACGAATCCATCCGTGGTTTATGTCAAGATTTTAACTGTCATTCCAGCACGTTTGACGTATCGGACTCGATTTTTACTATAAAGAAAACTATTATTTCCACTCTCAATAATTGAAATACTATCTTTAGCATATCCAATCAGCTGATGAATTTGGATCTGTAGCTGAATAGTTTTAGATCTCGACACTTAACAAACTCCTGTTTCCACTACTCGGCACCAAAAAACTCAAAAAAAGGTTCCGTACGTCATGCGGACTGCGCCCCTCGTGTCGGTTGGCCGGGAATGGAGGGTAAAAAGCCGTTGGGATTAATTAAAGATCGAATCCTTTTGATTTGTATGGAATTTTGCTTTGCTTTACACACGCAAAATGTTGTATTCAAAGTTCCTGTAATATTTGTAAAAATGGACTTAGCAACTTTTAAACATGGAAACATATGATCATTTTTATTAAACTTTGAATTACTTGTGTTATATATATATTTTTTTAATTACGTAAGCAAATTTTTGTCCATAAATGGGTGCAGCAGTTTGAATTTATTTAGAACGGGAACATACCTTTATGTCAAAGCCTACAAAACGCTTTCAAATAAAACATTTGCCTATTTGAAACATTGAGGCGCTTAAAGCAAGTGAAACAAAGCTGCCATTTGGCCAGCCTTCATGCATTTTAGTATATTCCAAATAACTTTTGACAGTTCTCAAAGCGAGGCAAGCAAAGCAAGCCTGCATTGGGCCAATACCTTTACACAGGTTCATATACTTCAAGGTAAAACTTTGCCGCCTTCTTTTAGACCTTCACTTACTTCGACCGTCCACCACCTACATACTAAACAATTGGTACCCCGATTCATGACTCGGTTTTTTTTTTGCAATATTAAGGCTGCATTCGATAGTATAAATAAATTAATTAATTTTCCAATTAAACTATTTGAAATTTTTGTGGAATTTCGTGGAAATAATCTGTATCTACTAAAGGAACAGACTCGGCTTTCCAACCAAGTTGCTGGTTGCTTTTACAATATTCGCACAAAAAAACTGACTATAGAGCCTTTAAAATTAAGCAAAGCAAACCAAAGTAAGAAAAACCCCGCAAAGTAAGCCTATGTTCGGCCGAACACATTTAGGTTGGACATTAAAAATAAAATCACAGAACAAAAATATTACCATTGTATATCGTATCTCTGCAATGCGCTGGTGTATTAGATGACTATGTGGGTTGTGCAGTAGAACCTCCTCCATACAGAACACAGCTTTGGAATAATCACACTCCGCCAAATACAGTCTACATAATTCCTGCCACGCTTCTTGATCAGACATAAACCTTTCGGAAACAATAAAATCAGCTTATGAGCAACCAAAAATAATTTACATATATATTACTACACACGTTTTCAGATATTCATTTAATTCTTTGATAGCTTCTGTGCGTTTTCCTCTTGCTTTGAGGATGGCAATTTTTCGCTTTCGAGGTGCAGCATTTGTTTCATCTTTGGCAATAATCTCATCGAGCAGATCAGTAGCTTCATCATACATCTGCATAGCTTCCAGGCGCATGGCTTCGAATTTTACTACACGCATGCTTTCAGGAAATTCCGTACTTAGTTGCTCAATACATTTTCCTGCTATATCTAAACGTGACGTGTCCAAAGCGGCAATAATTACTTGCTCCAATATAAGATGTCGCTCATTGCCAGTCTTCTGAAAACAGTTTTCTAATATCGCTTCCCACAGTTGAATAACTTCGTCACTTCGACGGTCATTATCCTCACGCCATTTTCGGAATTGATCTCGGATATCTGAAATAATTAGTGCAACTTCAGTAAACTGTGTATATTTTCATTATTGTCCGCATCATTTATGTTTATAACAAACCAGTCCAATTAATCTCTCTGAAGTTGTATGCCATAATTTAATATTTCTATTTGAATCCACCTTATTTCACAAACTATATAGCAACGAATAAATAACCGATTTCAATTAAATTTAGAAAAGTTCACGAAATCGACTTGAACAAAAACTTTTATGTATCTTCCTGTAGGGATAGGACTCGGGTTTAGAACTGGGATACTATCTATAGTAATATCGATAGTATCGATAGGTGAAAACTGTCGACACAATCGATAGTTTTTGAAAACTATCGATGTCGGTTTTAGTAAGACTTCACCTCTTCTTTACATCTCTACACATTACATCAATTGTTTTTATGCAAGAAAATTCACAACACAGTCGGCAAAAAAATATGTTTTATCATTGGGATTTTTAGCAACTATAAGCTTACACTGAGTTATAATAAAATTTAATAAGCTATAAATCTGCTTACACAAAATTTTTTTAGAAATTCGAATTAAAATGTTTTAATTTTTAATTATTTTGTAGTTTTTTATGTTTTGTACAACTTTTATAAAAGATTAGTAGACACTAAGGGCGTGTGTGAATCGGTAACAAAGTTCTATGGGGAAAGCTGTTGAATAATAAGGGTATTCATCAAACCTTATAAATGCATTGTAAACCGTATAAACTTATAATTGTGTAAACCTTATAAATGAACTGTCAAAATTTGTATGGAAACTCGTTTACACATTTCTGATAAATTTATCCAGCGATTTCACTGAATAAACTTGATAAACTGAAGACAATGCAACTCTGTCGCAACTCTAGCTATGTTTTCTTAGGTAATAATCGGGATCCGCATACAAATTTTGCATGCAAATTCAAAAACGATATGATCCTGATAGAGATCTGGTTCAATTATTATCCCGTCTGTTTGTTTTGTTTCACTGATAATTCGCAAAGTTTGGTAGCCGTGACAAATGAATTCGTACACAAACAGGCATTCTGTCATTGTTTCTTATAACTTGCTTCAAATAAATAGCCTTTATGTTATATGTACATTTATTTAAATAGATATCTCGTAAATATAATTTTTTCCAATTTAGTTAGGTAGTTTCTTTTATTTTTTTATCCCCGTGCTAGTAGTATAAAGTTAGTGACACTGCGCTTTATAACCAAAGTAAACGAAAAGAGAGTGTGGGTCGTTCATGTAACAGAGTGCATAAACTTATAAGATTATCTGCTTGATAAAGTTATCGGTTTAGATGAATACCACTAATATTTTTACTATGGTGAGACAGTTTTGCCAATCTGCTGTTTGAAATGAAATATTTTTTGACAGCAGTAAATTTTTGATAACCGCAGATTTATTTGGAATAAAATATTACAAATTGAAGTGAAATGAATATTTTAAGAAAACATCTACCATCGTTGATTGCAATTTATCTATTTAAGCTTTCATTTAACGAAAAATTACACACATCAACAATCTTTGCGATTGTCAAAATTTTCTATGCATTTGTCAAAAATTTTACTAGCCTCATGAGCTACTGAAATTTTATTCACCTCATAGTTGTCAAAAATTTTCTCGACGCGAACTTTGTTACCGATTCACACACGCTCTTAATAAACAAAAAGTAGTCTATCCTGCTAAAAAATGTTGTGGTGCTATTATTTTCTTATAATATGATAAAATGTTAATAATTTCCCTTGTCCGGATTTTGATATGCGCCCTGTATTTGATCTCAGTTGAACTTTTATAAGAATGAGTTGTCAATTTAAACGAATATCTTTTATTTTGTTTGTTTTGTAGTATTATAAATGTATTTTTATAGCGAATTGCACTTCAAAAGGGACAAACATAATCCGAATTTAATTTTGCCATATAAAAAATAAATGCAGATTTTGCCTGTCGCTTTCAAGGGGATGCAAGGGCGCATAAATTAATACGTTTATTTTATTATTATAAGAAGTTCTTTTTGATGCACTCAAATTTAAAAAAATTTATATAATCTTTTTAATTTACAAAGTAATTTATAAATTTTATACATTTATTAATTATTTAATTTTCAAGCAATAGAGCGTTTTAATTCAGTACCTTTCACGACGATTATACTATTGATACTATCGATGTGTTCAACTATCGTTTCTAAAACTATCGAGAGCGGTACTATCGATAGTATCCCATTTCTACTAGTACTCGAACGATACTATCGATACTGAGTAAGCATCGATATTGAGGGTATAAAAATGTGTACTTTAATATTCGATACCTTATTTGTTGATTTTACTCGATACTTTGCAAAGTACTGGTAGTATCGAAAACTTTTTAAAAAAACACACTTTTTAAATTTTTTCTGCCATTGGCAACCCAATTTTCTTTGCTTATATGGATTACTATCATTCAATTTTGTCCATCATTTAAATTAAACTGAAATTGCTTGTAGTCTGTTGCATAACATAAACCAAATAAGTTAAAATTTAATGGCCTTATTCATAAAAAAAGTAAGTTTAAAGAACTTAATAAAATTACAATTTCATAAATTTCTCAGTTTATAAACCTTTTTTATTTTTTATAAATAAGGCCATAAAACTTTACGCAAAGTTCACGAAAATGCAGAATTTTTAGAAACTTTTTGGTTATGCAGTTATGTAACCTATTCAACTTTACGTGTAGCCTACTACCGTTAACTTTTAGTTCAAACATGCACTTAATTATACTAAAATTTAATAGGCTACAAAATTACATACCCAAAAAGTTTACGAAAATTCTAATTAAAATTTGAAATTCGTGAAAGTATATATATATGTACGTATGTATGTACATTTAACTTTAAAATTACTTCTAACGTGAAAGTAAGTTCTGCAATGAAATAAAAATCAAATAATTTAAATTTCTATTGTTTTAATTTCAGAAAATAACTAGATATACGATTGAAGAATAAAATAATTTTAGTATCCCAAAAAACGTATTTTAATGAGTCCGATACTGAGTAGTTTCGTTACTTCTTCCCTGATACTTTTAGAGTATCGATACCATGAGCTCGATGCATGAACGAAAGATACAAGATCACGCGGGAAGAAAAGAAAGAAAAAAGTTATTTTCTAGCTGCCGAATACTCGACGCCAACTTTGTTGTAAGAAGTAAACAACGAAGAGAACGGAGAAAACCGCGAAATTGTTGAACGTATGAATAATCATTTTTATTATGCAAACTCTTCTATAACTCATGCCGTTGGGTTAAATTATTTTTTATCTTATGTATACACACGTTGTCACAGGCGAAAATTGCATAAAAAGCCACCACCAAATTGTAAACAACGAAGAAATGTAAACAAACGGCTAATGTCAAAATCGTTAAACTTTTTCCTAAATGCGATTTTAACGGGCTACTCTCCTACCCGACTGATCTTGGATTTTTGATTCATGAGCTCGATGCCAGAATGAGTACTCAGCAGAACCAAAATGTATTCAACAAAGTGTGATTGATTTTGACATTGCTCTCATAAGAAACAGGCTATAATGTCAAAATGAAATGAATTCTTAACCCATATGAAATTTTTTTTTCAAATTTGAATTTGTTTAAAAAAAAGTTACACACAAATTTTTCAAGCAGCAAATTTTCTTAATAAACGTGAAATTGTTGAGAGATAAACCGCAGAGGAGAGCAAGTAAGTACATTTAAAGTTGGGTAATAAGTAATTACGTTCGACTTTTCTTAAATATTTAATGTAAGGAAACCAATATGAAACGGAGCAAAAGGTTTGAACGGTGCGCTGTATGCAATAAAGGTCAGGACACGAAAATAGTGTGATGTTTTAAACTACCTAGTTGCGAATTAAAACGGCACCGATGGGAAGAAAGCTGTGGTGTTGTAATACGTGATTCATCTCGCGTTTGTGAAAACCACTTCAAGGAAAGTGAAGAAATAACTAAAACCATGCAGGCAAGTATGAAAGAGCTTATTTAAAACTGCTCGAAGCAAAGTCTTTAATGGAAAACTATTTCGCATGAAAAACATTTTATTTCAAAATTTGTAGAGTTAAGCTCACATATAAAATTGGACACATGTAAAATCCTACTTTTGTAATTGTCGAATAATGTTTAGGATAAAAAATTTTTATATAAAAGTAAACGCATAAAAGCATAAAACTTGGACAAGTAAAACAAGAAAATAGCTAAAACTATTTTATAAACAATGGCGCGTATTCATAGTCCAGCAACTAAGTCGAAACTAATAAAGTTGCAACTTAAATTTAAGTACCAACTTAAAATTTACCTCTATTCATAGTCGCATTTCAGACTTCTACTAAGTAGTTTCGACTTAGTTTACGATATAGCAAAACGAGTGTGAAAATGTATAGATTTTTGTTTACGATATTTCGGAAAAATTACATTTTTATTAAATAAGGTCAAGTTTGATCATCCGTTTATGTAATTTTTATTTTCATTGCATGATTATGCAAAAGAATAAGGTATCATTTTCTTGTTAATTGTGTGAAATAGCCAGAACAACCGCAGTGATGTGAAGTCGATGTTTATCGAAAGCATGCTGTGAAACATACATATAGTAGATATCTAAATGTTATGCACAAATTTACTTTAAAAGAACTAGCGTGAAACTGACTTATTATTTGAAAATTTATCTAAATTATTCCAATTATAAAATTGTGATGTAGCTTTATTCGAATTGTAATACGAATTTAATTTCATCTTCCGATTAAAATTGATCGATCTTTGTAAATTTTAATTGGAGATTATTCAATATTATCAAAATCACCCTCTACCAAATTAATTTTTACATATTTCGTCTGTTTTCCCTTAATTTGATAAAATACTTCTTCCTAGTTACGACTTAGTTGCCGCTGCAGCCGAAATTAAATTTTAAGTTGGTACTTAGCCAGAAAAGTCGAAACTAAGGCGACTATGAATAGCTTTAGTTGTGACTTAGAATAGTTTCGACTTAGTTGAGTACTAAATATGACTATGAATATGCGCCAATTAGTTTTATTTTATTGACAAAATATATATATTCCAGGTAATGTAAGTAAAACAAAACTATAATCAAAATAAAAGCCTAGGGCATCAGTGCTGACAAGATAAATGCAAAACTAAGGGTTAATTCGTTTGTTTATACTTTTTGACATAATAGTACCTTAAAAGAGAGCCGCACTGAATTGTCAATCACACCTTGCTTAATACACCTTGAGCACAACATAACCAGTACCGAACCTTGAGTGAA